CTCCGGCACGCGCACTGAAGTCAAGGGGCACTTGTGACTGAGAGCTTGAAGCAACTCTCCTGACGCCACCACGCCGTGTTCAGAAGTTCCACAAAAACCCATGCTCTGTGCACTCTTCACCCTGCAGCGAGGCCACTCCGCTACATGGGGCAAGGAGGAGCGGCTCAGGACCAGCTCCCGGAGAGTGGTGTAACCTCATCCACTACATTATATCAGCATGAGATAATAATGTAACAGTTGCATAGTTCGTACTAGCAGGTAGTTGGGGGCATCTGGGTATTGCAGTTGTGCACGCAGCATGCTCAACGCAACCTTTTGCAAGCATGCTTTGATGGCGATGTTTCGAGTTTGAGAACTTGAATCCCGACTACACCATCAGTCAGTAGCGATGGGGACCAAAATGACTAATTACGATCCATACCAACATGGCGCTGGACCAGAACAGCATCTCCTCGTGTAAAGTTTCTCGAGAGATCTGACCACGCGAAGGTCTTTCCAAGCCCCGCTTGGCCATCAGAAGTTCTGTCAACTTTTCAACTTGAAACCAATCACTGTCTGCCGTCTTTCAAACTTCAAAGCCTCCGTAATATGTAACCTCCACACCAGGGAGCGGTCGAAGTAGCGTCTGCGATCCTGGCGCCCATGGCCGGTCCATGTTCTGCTTTACAAACATAAGCCCTTCGTTCAGTGAACCTGCAAAGCTGCGCTCACATCCTCCAAACTGCATTGCTTTACTCCTGCAGCTTTCACTTGACTCAAACAGCATTGCTGCTTGCCGATGGTTTGCTGCCAAGCCACTGTCAACGTCTCCTCCAGCTTCTCCATGAGATATCTGATCATGGCTTCCTGCCTGCGTCTGGTACCGGTAGAACTAATTCGAGCACTCCCGGCATTCTGTGGTTGCACTTCGCAAAACGCGAACACGCAGTCTATCTACTCAGAACTCACCAAAGAAACGCTAACCTCCATCCCTGTTGCGCTGCCCGTGAATGATGGTACATTCTTCTCATAAAGACTGCATGCTGCATTCAGTGCTCGTAGCTCTCCGATACTCGTTCCGTGGAACACACCACGGCAGGACTGCCAAAACTCTCTTTGTTGTGACTTTGCCGTATTCGAGGGAGTGGAGTCCGCTCACACGTTTGCATGAACACCAAAAAGAACATCCCACAAGTGTTTGATTTGAATACTCGACTTCAACTCTCACTATCGCACAAGGCAGCCTTGCCAACTACTCCATTAAAGCCTGAAGCATATCCTGAATAAACGGGCGTGCTACCTGTTCCATCTCATCATCGGGAGGGGTTCAATCTGCCATGCCTCAGCTCCTCTCCATTGGCAGCGGCCGCAGCTGTAGGCTTCGCCCCGGTCGGAACAGAAAGAGGCCCGCGTTCAATAGATGCCTCCAATGCAGGCTCGGAGGTTCGGTGGTATTGTTGGCCACGAGCTGCATCAGATTGGACCGCTTTCTGATTTCTACATCTCTGCACCAGCCACTCCCATAAGCCACCGTTTCACGATTCAGGTGCCGATGCCTCTAAACCCTTGAAGCGAAAAGCCCAAGAGATGCTGCTTACCCTTCGCCTCAGAGGCCCGGGCTTTGGCTTTGGCCCCTTGCTCTGCAAGTCGGAGGGAGGCGGCCTGGAGGGCCGACTCAAGCCTCCAGAGTCAGCGTCATAAAAAACAGCTCATTTTTTTCATTTCAAGGGCAGCCAGAATCGGTAGCAGAAGAGTAGCGCTTTACTTGCTGTCCACCTATGCTCCTTGCAGACTTGAAGTCGCACTGCAGGGAAGCCGGGCAGCCGGAAAGCTCGAGGCAAATGTTTCTCGGCACGCTTAGTCTCGTAGCAAGAAAATGAAAGCGAAGGCTGAAGCTGTCTGGAAATACTGGAGGCGGCAAGCGAAGAGAGCTTTGCTGCGTGCACGATTCGCACGATTCCCGGCAGGCAGAGCAGGGCGGGTGTGAATGGGCATGCGTTGGATTGCAGCGGGGCCCTGCTACTGACATGAGTTGCCGTTCTTTGCGGACGCCGGCTGCGTGCAGCACGACCGCCGCTGTAGCATGGAAAATGCTGGCTTCCAGATCCACCCAACATTTACCGTGGCACTGCCAGCAAGGTAACATCAGGGAACAAGCGCAAGAAATACGAAGGCCCAAGAGCCTGGAGGGGAAGTAGACCTCATGTTGCATCCTGTTCTGCCTAGGGCCTCGTGTATGCCAGGTTCAATCTCTTTATTTGATAACGTTGTGTAGTTGAATGGCCGAGGGACTTCGTTCACAGAACATTCTGTCTCCCCTTTCGGTGCAGTTTCAGCTGCCAGCCCTCCGTACTCTCATCAAATGCAGCATTAGTATACGACATGCATTCATGCGCAAGCTCTGACCCGACTTCATACTTGGAGTGTCGTCCAAATGGCAACAGACACATCATGGCAGGATCTGGGTAAAGCACAGCCACAATCAGACCGTCGCTTGCTTCGGCAAGCAAGAGCTCAAGCTCCCAGTTATATCTATCCCCATTTTCGGCAGCTCCCATGTTTAGCCCTCTGGTCTCAATCCGAGTCAGAGAAGCTCCGTAACACGGCGACGCAGCAGCTCCAGATCATCTGAATTGGCGGGCGCTGGCTCCTCAAGGGAAGAGCTCCAAACACTCAACTCGCCCAGCTATGTGTTTATGTTGTTGTGAGAGAGTGTGAATGAGTGAGTGAGTGAGTGAGTGAGTGAGTGAGTGAGTGAGTGATTTTGTGTGTGACTGTGTGAGTGTGTAATTGCTTTTCCATTAAGTGTATACACAGATAATGGCTTAGCTATACTTCCCACATATATATATATGTAGATATACATTCATATATACATATATATATACATACATATATAATAAACATAAATATACTTCCAAGTCCGGGACGAATGTCAAAAACGCCTACGATACCGAAGCCCACACCGAGGACCATGCCCGTGCTGGCAACCGCGGCTTCTCAGCCACTCGAGCATGCGCGGATGCCCAGCGCAACTTCAGCTCCTGTCAAACATTTCCGGGAATCGACTCAAAAGGCCTGCTCCGGATGTGCAGCGGAATACTGTTGACCCCACATCCACAAGTCAGCAACCCGCATGACGTAGTGTGGAGCTCGTGTCGTCGCTGTGCAGCACGGCAGGAGGAGGAAAAGCATCGGCAGTGGCAGAAGCAGTACGTAGTGAACAGCCAAAAGCAAAGGTTTATAGCATTCACCAAGTAGAAGTTCTGGTTAGAATCGCCGTATGACGATCTGCATAAGGATGCTGAAAAGAAAGACACGAAGTGCCGGCGTCAGAACGCGCATGGGAAGCACAAAAACCTCGGCCTCGAAGTCGAAGAGCACGCGCTCGATGCGTTTCGAGGTCTCCAGGGAGTCCGGTTTTGCCATGGGCGGACAAGTTGGGCTTCAGAGTGTGAGCTTCAGGGGGCTGGGACTTTACTGGGTTTGGGGACAGGCTCACAGTCCGACTGGCACACTCGCGCGGGGCAGGCACAGATTCATGAGTCGGTAACTGCTTAGGGTCTCAGGTGCGGAGGGGTAAAATAGTAGTTTCAAGGTCGTGGGCCTCGGGATTCTGGGGCTCGGGACCTTCAGTCCTGTCAGTCGTGTCGCGTGTTCAGGTGCATAGCGATTTCATGTTTTCTTTCGAAGGTTTGAGCCAGCGGCTCGCAGGGCAAATTCTCAGGCCAACCCTGCTCCTCTCTCTAGATCACATCCTAGACACGAAGGTTGAAGCGACATCGGAGTTGCCGCCCCCGGCGTTTCAATAGGTCTACCGTGTAAACCCGGAACTTCATCTCTAGAGCATGCGTCCGGTCATGAGAATCAATGCACCAGGCTCCGGCGCTGCCCGGCTTGCCGACACAGTGCACAAATATGACATTGTCATTTTTTGCCATGCCCGCCGTCTCTGCAAGCAGCAGGCCCTCAGACTTACTGCGAATTGCATTACATCATGCGAAGGCAGCAGCCGCATCAAGGAGCATATGTGGACCTGCAACACCTTTTTCCGGTATGTCCTTTTCAACTCGGAATTCATCTTCGGAGATCCTCGGAGCTGCTGCTGTGGTCTCACATGATGACTAAAACTGTGATCACTAAAACTTCTGCACATAGTGGGATGGACCTCACGGCTAAGCCGTTAAGTTGTTCGGTGATTCAATCATGCCGGAGGTTCCGCCGACTAGGTGGTTCTGTTTTGTTGAATCTGTACAGGGACACTGCGCCTGCCCAATTTGGGCTGGCGGGTGTAGGGAAACATTAACATTATCCGGTCAGCGTGGCCGAGCACATGGCATGTTGGGAGCTGTTGGTGCCACCTTCCACAAGAGCAACTGTCGGTGGAAGCTTTCGTGCCCATGTCCCCGAAGATTCTGCAAGTCTAAGTAGCTGGAAACCAGGTATTGCTAAGTCCTGCGGCAGGGACCCGTCTCTACCGGCCCACGCACCGCCACGAGTGCTTCGACGTGGACTCACTGCGCGGAGGGCCGAGTTCCGGGTGCCACACTTTTTGTACGACCATGGAAGGGCAAAGCTGGTAATTACCAACGTCTACGCCGCCGAAACTTACAGACTTCGGCTACTTTGAATAGCTTGAAGTCTTGTCTTGTGCGACAGTTCCCACGTCCATCGACAGCTGCCCCTGAGATAGGGCCACTCAGACTCAGACACGGCTCGGGATGGCACCCACGACAACCATGACGTAACGGAGCGGAAGCAATGAGGATGACGGCCACAACGACTACGACCACGACAGCCCACCAGCACCAGAAGCAGCAGCACCACCACCACCACCAAGAACCACCACCACCACTACTACTACCACCACCACCACCGCCAACAGCAGCAGCAACAACAACAAGAACAAGAACACTGCCGCCAACAGCAAGCACAACCACAACCAACAACAAGGAAATCCTGAACAGAAACATGCATGTATGTGAGCTCTTCGCAGAAGCCCGAATGGACAAAGCTAAGCCTCAAAGCTGCTTGGAAGCTCGATGAAGGCTCGGCCCAAGAGGGCCGTGGCCAAGCAGCAGCCAGGCGGACCTGTGCTCTTGATTCATCTTCCGGTGCCATGTCCAGTTGAAGGTAGAAAAGATTCTGCCCTGGCCCCTGCATGTGAATGTGAAGCAACGACAGGTTCAATTCGTGGACAAATGCACAAGACGGCGAAGAAAAGTCGGCTGCTGATCTGCTTCTCACATGCCTACTCCACCATTCCCACCAACAAGCCAACTGCGTCCTGCTGCAAGACGTTACATGTTGTCCCATCTCTGGCCCGGGCAACCCTTCGAGAACTAGGACTGATTTCGACGCGATCTCATCACGTCCGTTCCATGAATAATCCAAATTTGCTCCAGGTTGCTCTCCGATTCATGCATACACTGCTTCATGTGAAGCCTTACCAACACCATTCTGGACGACACCTAACTTAACACCGACTTCATGTTGCAGCTTTGCGTCTCCAGCCCACACCTGCTGGAGGGCCCTTGCAGCAAAAGGGCAGTCGTCAGAACTGAAGCAGCTTGTAGCAGCTTGTGTAAGGTACATCTCAGCCGACTTCTCTTGTTGAATGATGGGTGGATCCCGGCGAGCTCATCATTAGGCAACACATCGGTACCTTTCAAACACAAACGCATAAGTTGTCCCCAGCTCTCAGCGGCGCTTGCTTTCACAACGACACATTCGGCGCAGATTCAGTCTAGGTTCCAGAAGCTACCACGAAGAATAAAGCCTGCGTGTTCTGTTGCAGCTTGCTTGATGAGAAATACGCCCGTCGCCTTGCTCTGCATCGCAACTGGCATCGGGCAATATGCAGATTCCAACCTGGGCAGCACGGAAGCTTCGAAACCCCAATTTGGCCTATATAGCCGCCTGACAGCCGTTCAGGCCGGCATGCCAAGTCAGTTCTGCCGGCACTTGAAGCCTGAAACATACGCCGAATTGCCGTCTTGAATCCTGACACTGCAGCTGCCCAAGTCCACTCGCCCAGCTGCCTGTCGTCAGTTGCAGGAAGAGCATGGAGGAAGTGCTGGCAACATGACCGTCCTCCGTTGCCTCTCTGTAAGAGTGCTGTGTTGGCCACATGATTATGCAGAACGACCTTATGCGAAGCTTGAAAGCACGTCCCCGGCAAAACACGTTCAGACCAACTCGCCGCCCTACCTACTTGGGCCAGTTGGGCCACTGGGTCCTTCTTGCAGCTTTGCTCCCTTCATGCCTCCCCTTCCTCTCCCAATGCCACCCCTTCGGTGTTGACCGCTTTTCAAGCGGTCAAGCGACTCATGCCTCTTGAACAAGGGTAGTGACTCCGGGTAGTGTTATACACTTTAAGTGGTCATGTGGCTCAAGCGGCGCATTCGAAGTAGTTTTTTCCAGAATCTCGGGCAATGTAACAGGGGCACATCATCGAACATGCGTGTCACGAATACAGGGAATCGCTGTAAAGGGAAGGGCTCCTCAAGGACTCCGTCATGTGCCTGTGTGGCTGAGCCTGGGTCACTGAAGGATTCTCCAACTGGCCCTGAGTCTAACAAACAATAACAGGCAAACAAACAGTGCGGGCGCACACATACACAAACACACACACACACACAGAGAGACTCATGGGGAGCTGCCCGAAATAGATGCCCGTGTACAGACCCTACACCCAGTACCCGAATGTTCTACAGTACCGAAGAGAGCGACATGCAGGTTTTCACCTGTGTCGTGTTCCTACAACACATGTATCAGACAGCACCTCACTTTCCTGCAATGTGGAAACTCAGCCAGCAGTCCTTGTTTGCGAAAGATCCCACACCTGGCAGACAGGCAAGGCGACAGCAGCATTATCGGAAGACTACAGGCTGCGGCCTTTGATCCTAAGCTGATGGTAGCAAGCTTGTGGAAACATCTATGCTAATCTATGCATCAAAAACCGACCACGTCATGTATGGGTGAGCAATTTCAGGTCTGGCCCCTGCCCAGTGCTGGCCTACGAAGCTTGGAACCCTGAACCCTTCAAATTGTTTCACAAAAGAACTACGACGGTGCGCGAAGTCAAAGCAGGACCAGAAGGCATGCAAAAGTTTCACTGCTGGATCACCACAACGACTGGGATGCGCCCGAAGTCCGTTAACGTTTCAGCTTGCAAGCCTTCAGCCGCGAACTCAGAGCCACCAGCAGCTGAGCTCCACTTAAAGCCATTGCTTCTGGTCCTGTGTCGACGCACTTGAGGGATCGGGGAGGGCTGCGGTTAAGGGCACCTTCAATTTGCTCAAATGGCCGACTGTCCTTCAGCAGCTTCAGGCAACACAAGCCTCGGCAAAGCGGGCACAGCCCATTGGGGTACGTGAGGAATTGGAAGTGCTTCGACTTAGCTCTATAGTCATTGTTGCAGCGGCAGTTTGAGAGCGAAGCGGTGCGTCGTGAAACAGTGTCGTGCTGCAGGCAATCTTGAACCTGTTCGACCTACTGGCGACAGCCGGGATGTAGCTGTAGCACCTCCGGACTCGCACCTCAAGCACTTGAACAGCACTTCAGGGCAAGTGACGTCAGTTTCTCATGTAGAGATATGCTGCTTAGCCCATGTATGACGGCACGACTAATTACATTTAACTCATTTAACGACTCACAGGCTTCATGGGAAACCGCTCGCTTTCTTTTCACGACTCGTAGAACTACGTCTCCAGAGACAAACTTCACCAGCGACTGCACACGTGACACGGGCTCGGCCCAAACCTCCATCCAAAACAAAAGCCTAAACAGTCCTCAACATCAGTCGTCGAATATACAACACAAAATCTAGTTGGTTCTTTATTGCATTGCACTTCAAGCATCTCCAATTCCAGCTCGAGGCCCTGACGGTGCTGCCACCGAGGGTCGCACCTGACGAGCAAATTGCACGTTAACGGAAACACCTGCATGCCGAGACCTGCACAGCCTCTCTCCGCTGCCACGGGTGTGTGGCCACCCGTCGCGCATGCACGTCCCAAAGGCTCTTCCTCCCTCGAATCGAAGGCAGAAGCTCAACCCAACGCTCCTCTGCGGTCTACCTCTTCACCTTTCAACCGCTGCCACCTCTGCTGCAATCCAATAGAATGACCCCACGATGTCAATGAACCACGTCATGCTAAGCCTACTTTGCCGGCGCAGCGGCAAACTTCGGCTGCGAGAAACATCCGACGATTCTTACGGAGCTTCTGAGAACCTTCCTGCACTTGAAATAGCACTCCTGCAGTATCTTCGGTTTGCCGCTGTCGACCACGTGTTTGTTTCCGCCACGCAAAAGCATGCGTTGTGAACTCTGTCTTCCTTCCTCGCTCATGCCGGCAAGACCAAAGCCCATCCCCAAACACAAGAAACAGCAAAACAACATCGACCTCTGCAGTCCTCAACCCTGAGGCACGCCTCGGCTCTCCGAAGCGACTGCAGGATGCCACAGCTTTCGCAAAGCGGAATCACCTCATCAGCTGAGCGAACATTGCTTGTCAGCTTCATTGGTGGAAGCTTAGAGCTAGCCATGACGGGAAATCCAATAGCTCTGACGGCAGCATATGTGAAGAGCTCGCGTCAATCCACGCGCATGCCTGCTGCAACGGCTCCACTACGGCCTGCGGCTTGGGCATATTATGGTAGTTTGGGAGGCTGCATGCAAAATGAACCTGCCTGTGTGATGTCCCACAACTTGAGGCGGGTTGCTGCAATGGGTAGCATCTCTCCGTCCCAGCCGGCCACTGCAATACAAAGGTCGGCCTGACGTGTCGTCTGCTGCAATGCTCTTACTGCATGTACACGGTCGAAAGACGCTTGCTACAAATGCCCAGAGCCCTACATGTATGCTTGCATATATAGGTATAGAATCTTTTACTTTCGATGATCCATGATCAAGAGAATCCACCTTCGAAAAACAGTAACTCGCCGTTGAACGGAAAGTCGTTCTACACCTTTCATTTTGCAGTCCGCAGACCCTTCGTTTCTGTGGGTTTTGCAACGTACACCGCAGCTCTCTGCAGCTCCTGCAGTCCTAAGAAAGCATTGGGAAGGGGAGCGTTTGGACAAGCAGCTCAACTCACACTCTCCAGCACAGACTCGCTCTTGACTGGGCTTCAGATGCCTTGCTAGTCCCTGAACTCCCAACTCCTGCTACCCGGTACTACCCAAATCTGCAGAAACAGAGAGAGAGAGAGAGAGGGAGGGAAAGAGAGACAGAAAAAAAAAGAGGACACAGCGAGCGAGCTTTGATTCAGGGCATTGGTCTTATGCTCCCTTCCTCAACCGTGTAAGGCACCTCAGTTGACCCCTACCTTGCTGCAATATCTGTAACCTTGCCCTGTTCAGACTAGGGCAAGTCTGGACTCAAAGACCATGCGAAAGTGAACATGTGATATTAGCAGGGCCTTTCATATCAGGAGGAAGGGATTGTATATCTGTATAATCATGTCATGCCCACACACATTCAATTTGCCATGTATGTATGTATGTATGT